GGGGTTGGATGGAATCTGTGTGGGTGTTGTCTAGAGAATGTGGGGGGGGATGATGGAGGTGTGTCGGGGTTAGATAGAGGCGATCTGTGGAGTGTCGGTTGCATGTAAGGGAGGCGGGTGGTTGGGGCGAGGCTTCCCTAGATACTAACTACACTTGATAGCTCGTCAATCCAAAAAAAGATTTGAAATATGTATTTTTAGTATTTACTTCTTGTATTCTTACCTCTACTCGGTAGTTTAGTGTTTGGTCGATTTCGTGTTTGGTCGTTTTCTTGGTTTACGAGGGGCTGCCCTGCCTCTTGGTAACCACCACTTGTTGTTGTTGTTGTTGTTGTTTTTCCCACTTGTGTTTCTATTTGTTCAGCCGGTCTGTCTGTCTTTCATAGCTTTTTATGAGGTTGCACTGGGAGCCAGTGCTTGTTGTTATATCAAATTCCCACCATGGATTTTGTCAGAAATGTTTGATGCTTCTTGGGCTTTTCTGTTTGATACTCTGACAGTCTGACTAGGGTTTTTTATTTTTCCCCCCCGCCGTCCCCTTTATTATCTACTTACCTCCCACTACTTCTAAGCCTATACAGGGGGGGCCTATACAGGGGGGGCCTATACAGGGGGGCCTATACAGGGGGGACCCCTGCAAGCATAGCTACCTCTCACAGGTAAGGGGATGCATGTAGGCACTGTTGATTCACACTCCATCGGGAACCACACACAAAAAAAAAAAAAAAAAAAAAAGAAGAAAAAAGGAAAAGGCGGGAGAAGGAGGGGACTGGTAAATATGATTTACCAAATTCCAACGTTTGTCGATCTCCACCTTTCCCTCCGTTTTTTTTTTTTTTTTTTTTTTTTTTTTTTGTGTGTGTGTGTGTGTGTGTGTGTGTGTCTAGACCTGTCTCTTATACACATCTAGATGTGTATAAGAGACAGACCTATACCTCCGAGCCTCCTTGTAATGCTTCGCAAGAAGTTATGTGCAGTTGAGCGATCTATTGTACAGATGGATATGGCGGTGTTGAAGGTGG